CATGGAACCAACTTCCAAGCGAAGTGGTGCTGGCTCCTACCCTGGGGATCTTTAAGGGGAGGCTAGATGAACACCTTGCTGGGGTCATTTGACCCCAGTACTCTTTCCTGCCATGGCAGGGGGTTGGACTTGATGATCTGCTCAGGTCCCTTCTGACCCTACCCTACCAACTATAATGTGTGTCTGAGCATGACAATAAGACTTTCCAGTCACTTTTGACTAATGACTTCATGTTCTCCATGTTTTCAGCATGCAAGTTCCCTTAATGTTCATCTAGTTTATATTCAGTAAGTTTTGCATTTTTTTTTTTTTTTTTGTTTTTAGAAGCAGAGAAGGATAGTTTAGCTGTCATGTTACTATGCAGTATGCATGTATGTCTGGGAGTAACTATCCTGCTACTCCTAGTCGTATATAATCAGATATTATGAAGGTGACACTTATTCTGGGAGATGGTAAGCATACAGCTTGCTGCTCTAAGTGTAGTCTCAGATGACTGATCAACAGAGCTATGCTGATGGCAGTCCGATATGCTGTTGGTTCTGCTTATTTGGACGGAAGAAAGGTGCTGCTTTTAACAGTTGGAACTATTCATGAAACTTTGCTCAATGAATCTATCTGGTCTATGTGATGATATTCCTACCTAACTGAACTGTGTATGTGAAGAGTTATATCTTATCTTTCTTCCTGGTTTAGTTAGAAGACGGAAGATTAAACAGAAGACCCAGAAAAAAAGATTAATCAGATCCCCAAAAGTCTTTTTTTTTTTTTACACATATATACATATATAATACTAACTATAGAATTATTATGCACATAAATTATACTGCAGAAAATAACAGAACATTTGGATGCATTTCTTTCCTCATTTCAGTTATAGCACAAGCCAACTGGGTTTTCATAAGCTACTAGAGAAGTGGAATAATCCCAGCTGGTGATCAGGTTACAGTCTCGCTCTTATGAATTTGCTTTTTTAGCTCTAATTGTTGGAAACGTGAATCCTTTACTGATGAATTCAGTGCCCGCAGATGTCACTCCAGTACCAAACCAGATTAGGGTTGCCTAGACTTTTACTGACGACTGTAATATTCTGGAGCAGGGGTGGCCAACCCACAGCTCTAGAGCCACATGCGGCTCTTCAGAAATTAGTATGCATCTCCTTGAATCTTTGCACAAGCACACGGTGACCAGCTTTCATAGCTGTTCCGTTACACCATGACGCAACTGCTCGCAGCAAGGACATTACTCAGAGCATTGCTCTGCAGTTACTTTAGCCAGTTCCTTGTGTGCTATAAGATGAAAATGCATCTCATATAGCCTAGATGACTTGAAAACATCTAGCCTCTCGAAGGACAGAAATAGAGGTTGCCAAATGAAGCAGATGCATCCCACCATAGTTTATCCCAACACTGCTGGTTTGCCTCATCAGGTGAAACGCATCATTTGTTGTTCTGCCCATCCCTGCTATGAGACAGTGGGTGACATGTTCTCCCAGTTCGTGAGGGGCCTGGTCCTGTGCACTCCAGGAATTCACGTGAAGCATCAGACCTTTCTAGCCCTGGGACCACCTGCCTAGCTTTCCCTGCTTACAGGGATTTCCCTGGTCCTAGGGATTTCCAGAGATCCATCTTGGTAAGCAAGGAAAGCTGGCAGGCACACTCAGGAGTTGAGGGTCCCAGTCCTGCATGGGTATTCCCCAGGGTACACAGGATTGCACCTTGGAGCCCCTGCCTGGCACTGCTGAAAAACCTGGTCCGTTCCTGGGCTGTCAGTACTCCTGTGCCATAAATTAAATGGGCACTAAATGGCAGCATAAATTGATACCACCTTTGTTGCAGCCACAAGTTTTGGGCATCTGTGGTGTGACAAATGGTCTGTTTGCTTGGCCTTTTTGTGCTGCCATGAAAATGTTTATAGCAGCACAAAGGTGACAAGAGGCAACATCTGTTTTCCCCCTAAGTAAACTCTTACTTGCTCTTTCTCAACTCTAGATGCTCATTTCCTCCCTAGGCTGCTTGTCTTACTGCAAACTGTGACTGTCATATGGTAGCTGATGTTATTTGTGACCTTTTAGCCCTCTCTGGATTATATTATCTTCTGCATTTGTAAGAGACGTACACTTTCCTTGGTCTTCCTCCTATTTCTGATATACTTCTATAATACTTTTTTGTGTGTCCTTTTTATGTACCTTGCTAGTTGCATCTCAATGAATGCCTTGGCCTTCCTAATTTTCTCCCTGAATGCCCATGTCCCTAAAAGCCAGAATACTAGGGATGAGTATAATAGTCTGCAGGGCAAAGTTTCCACTTTTTGCAAGAGTAACAAAGCACCTTTGGTACCTGCCACTTTAAGGGCTGAGAGCAGCTGGCAGGTACAGGCCAGCCCTGATGGGGCGGTCACATGACCACTGGAGATCCATATGATTGGAGGAGAGGGTAGAGTGGCCTCCATTTTAGCTCAGGCTCTCAGGACTGAGTTAGTAGTCTGCTGCTGACAGCTGGAAGAGCACCAACTGGCTGAGCTGCTGCTAAGAATATTCTTGGAGATAAGGGCAGGAGCTATGGGGATGGCAGGAGGCTCCTGGTGTTGGGTATGACCAAAAACTGTACCCTGCTGGGGAAGGATGGCCTAGTGGGACTGCCTGTGGTGGGGTAGTTCCCCAGAAATGCCAGGCCAGTTGCCTCTCCAGTGAAAGGCAGGTAGAGGTGCCTTATAAACCCAACTCCTTCTACCCAGTGGGTATTTTAAGATCACAGTGTGAGAGAATGGGGCCAAGCACATCTGTGGACACTTGAGCCCATGGGGTGTAAGACCCCGAGCCCCAGTGAAGGGGTGAGTTGGCCCCAGTGAGGGGCAGAAGAGCATATGGAGGCCCACACAGAGTAGGGTGCATGGTGGTGCCTTAAGGGCTGTGCATGTGAGTGTAGAGTAGAGTCTACATAGGTGAACCTGAAGGGCTGCACTAGGGGTGTGCAGAGTAGGGTTGCTCAGGCAACCTGAAGGGCTGCACAAGGGCCAGCCCCCACTAGAATGAGATCTTGGATGAGTTGCCCAGTGAGGGGCTGTGGGCAGAGTTCAGTCCAGTGTGAAGCATAAGGTCAGTGCTGTGTAGAGTAGGGTTGGCTGAGAGACCCAAAGGGCTGCATGGGGACCAGCTAGAGTGCAAGCAGGTAAGCCTGATGGCCCAAGTGGGCTGCTCATGGAGCAGGATAGGTTGAGAGTGGTCCAGTGAGGGGTGGAGTGAATGAGGCCCTATGAAAGAGAGTGGAGTGCAAGAACAGAATGCTAGAGAACCAACAAAGAGCAGAGTTTGTCCCGGCTTCAGGCCTGAGTTATAAACGACTTACCATGCCATCTGCAAGACATGGGGCACAGTGTAGGGAACATCGGAGCCATGTATATTGCCCCAGGCACTGGGGGCATTAAATGGGCAGCCTTCTGCATATTTACATTAAGTTTATTAACCAGGAAATCATGGCAAGCGAGGCGGGGCAGATTGCCCTAGGCAGAGGAATGAGTCCATGTTAAGGCCTGGTCCTGATTGGCCCCCTGTCACAGCAAGGCTCCGTTCTTCTCATCAGGATAGCTTGCTCTTGAACCTCTATGCTAAGTAAAGACATTCAGGGGCATTAGAGGGAGGTTATATCAACTCAAAATGGCTGCTCAATATCAGGTAAGTCAGGATGGGAGGCTAGTGGGCAGGGGTTGGGGGTTTGCCCAGGGGGTCAAGGGGAGGTATGACTCATAAGGGGTGGGGGACCCCCCTGCAGGTGGGGGGGGGCAGGCATGACCCACAGGTGGGGTTGGTGGGGTCCCCCCCCAGCAAACCTATACCCCCATCCCTCTGCTCCTCTCCCTACCAGGACTTACTTGCTCAGCTTCAGCAGTTGCGAACGCATGAAGCTGCTTTTATCAGCAGAGTGGTTTGTCAGGTGGGGGCTGAGAAGGCTGGCTGGTCAGGGGGGAAGGGGAGAGCAAGGGGCTGTGTGTGTGTGTGTGGGGGGGGCTATAGCCCAGTGCAATGGGGGGAGGGGGTTGAAAAGAGCACGCAGAGAAAGCATACAGAATTTCCATGCACCGGTTTAACCTAAATTGAATAAATTTGATGCTACATAAATCCAGGTTTATCTTAAACTGGGTTCTGAAATTTTTAGACTGGTTTGTGTGCATGGAATTTCTGTATAGTTGCAGGTTTAGACTGATTGCTGGTCTGTAAGTGCAAGGTTGGCACCAAGATGAGCTAAGTTTAAATCAGGCTGCCATTTTGAACCTGATTTAACCTCCCCAAATGTCTGGACTTAGCCCTAATAACATACAGCCAGCTCTCCTGGACTCCCTTTGCTCTCTGTTAGTGTTGGGGATCCTGCCCAACATCTCCCTAAAGTCTTCTTTTCTGAAGTCCAGTGTCATTATTTTGCAGTTCTCCTTTTCTTTAAGATCTTGAACTCTCATTTAATGCTTGCTGTCACCAGAATTGCCTCCCACCTTCACATTCTCAACCAATTCCTCCTGTCAACCAATCTGTGAGCTGTGTAGGAAGAGGAGCTTCCCATTCCTGGTTGGCTTTACCCTCTGTACCAAAAAGTTTTCTGACACACTCCAAATATTATATTTAGTACCATCACCTTTAAGATAAAACTTTGCTACATTCATAGTATCTCACTTCCGTGACACTTAAGTAAGCCTGTAAATTGTATACATCTGAATCTAGAATTTTATTTGTAGTAAGTTTTTGTGAGCCCAGAGCTGAACTAGAGATGAAAGAAGATATGATCTCTGCTCTTTTAAACTTGCTCCTATATGTATATGAATATTGCTCTGTATATTCTTATTTTTCTTTTGTTCCCAGATATTTGGAGCACCATCATTTGATGACAAAATTTTAGAAGTTGTTGCAGTGTTTGGCAGCATGCAGATGGCAGTGTCAAGAGTCATCAAATTGCAACACCACAGAATAGCTCAGGTATGCAGAGCCAACCTTAGGTGTGGGTGATGTGGCTGACCGCCCAGGGCACTGTGGTCAGGGGGCACCACAGGCATACATATGTACACAGCACACACGTGTGAGCAGGCCACTCATAGCAGAGCTCTCCCCACACCCTAGGCAGGAGAACTGGTGCCCCACACAGCTCCACTGGGGATTGTGGGCAGCAGCACCACGTCACTTCACCTACCTGCTGGGAGGGTGCTCCCCACAGCACTGCCTGCCTGGCTGTGCCTGCAGCAGTGCTGCTGATGGGGAGGGTCAAAATACAGGTTCGCCCAGGACACCATTTTCCCTAAGGCCAGTTCTGCAGGTATGTTTCTTATTTGAAAAGCAAGTAAGATAATGAGTAGCCTGGACTGCTGTGGCGAAAACTAGTAGTCTGGCCAACTGCTATGTTATACATTATGTAATATTAATGCTGTTTTAATTTTTTACTAACAGTTAGTCATAAATGAATGTAGTAGAACAGTGCTTCATCCTTGAGATAAATGGGATAGAAGCCACAGCTCTTACTAGTCTATATACCACAGGTGGATTGCAGGTTTTCAGTGATATATTATGCAGTAAAATAACGTATTTATTCTTTTTCAGTGTCGGTCAGTAAAGATCACCATCCTTGGAGATGAAGGGGTTCCAGTGCAAGTAGATGGAGAGGCTTGGATTCAGCCCCCTGGGGTTATTAAAATTGTACATAAAAACAGAGCTCAGATGCTAACGCGGGACAGAGTATGTCAGAGAATGAATTTTATTATCTTTTGTATAAAATCCTTTGTTAGTGACATTCTCATAACATTATACCTGGCAAAAACAGCTTATAAAATAATTAGTTTGGTACGAATATGTTCTTTTACGCAAGTCACTCAGAACTTTGTCACCAGTAAGGATATACTGTATTTCTTTCTTTCTTTTTTTTTGATAAGTCAAAATGGTCAAATGTCTATGAGAAAAGATTGTATTTATCCAACCTTATCTATAGTTATATATGTAGTTGTGTAACTGTAAGGAGTATTAGTCACTATAACATGGCTTCTCTTTCAGCCACTAACTTTGTACTTTATCATACAAAGTAGTGGAAGTTTTAGGAGCTATTATATATGTAATAAAATGTAAAATGTCTCTCTTTCATTAATGATTGCCATTGCAGATTTCATGCTACAACATTCTATACCTTATCAAATAATGCTAGAATCCAGTTTTAAAAAGTTAGTCACTGTAGGAGTATGTGCTGTTTTAGCCGTCTAGAATTAAAAGCATAAAACCTCTCGTATTCCCCCTGAGTTCCCCTCTGTTCTTTCATATGAGTGGATGCTGAACACAGTCCTTTCTCTGCATCATATAATCGCACAAAAGTAGGGTTAAAGGGACCACATGAGGTCATCTGCTCTAGTACTCTCAAGGCAGGATCATCCCTGACTAACAGCTACAGTAATTTGTCTAGTAAATTTAGTAGATTTTTTTTCTCCTTGTTTTCCTGTATGACTTGCATTCAGAATGTCTTATCCTGGCAAAGTTATATCCCCAGTGAATGCATATTGAATGCATTTTAAGCTGCCCATTTAACTTAGGACAGGGGAAAAGGTTATCCATAAAGACGCATTTTTTAAAAAAAATTGGTTTTAAAGACTAATTTTAAATGCTATTTTTGTGTTGTACTGTATCATGCTTATAATTTTTATGTAGAATGATATGTAAGTCAGTAAATTTAAATAAAAGAAATGTAAGTCTTATCAGTTGAATGTTTAATTCCATTTTAATCAGGCTTTTGAAAGCACTCTGAAGTCTTGGGAAGATAAGCAGAAATGTGATTCCTGCAAGCCTGTCCTGCGGTCTCAGCTGTACCCTCAACAGGCCATTGACTTGGCTACAGAAGAAGAAGTTGCTCAGATCCAGCTGTGTTCACAAGCTGCAGAAGAACTTATTACCAGGTATAGTAGAATACATGGGTTTAATGGTTTAATAGCCATTCTATTGAAATGCAGTTATTTATAGAAATTAGCATGTTCCATATAAGATGAGCTCAACTAATTTGGCTAAAGATGTGACACTTCATTGTCCATATTTTGGGTTGTGAAAGATCTGATTTATACTGTGTGCTGATTAGATTTTTTTTTCCTTCCTGCAGAAAACTTTTCTTTGACAGAGGGAAAGTTTTTTCATCTGAGAACAAAGATTTACCTAAAAAAGATTTTGGTAACTAGGGGTGCACAGATTAAAAAATTTCCTTGGCCGATACCAATGGCCAATTATTAACCAGCCATATCAGCTGATGCCATCCAATAACTGACTTACGGGATTGTAGCACAGCAGCTTGGAGAGCAGTGTCTGGCTGGCTGGTAAGTCTTTGGGAGGAAGGGGTGAGGGGGCAGATTGAGGCCCCCACAATGAGGGAATGAGTGGGGCAGAGGCAGGCACTGCCGAGCCAAGGAGGTGAATGCAACACTGGGACCAGATGTGGGGCAGAACTGCAGGCAGCTCATCTGGTGGGGGGCACACAGAGGGGTGGGGAGGGGGCAGCACCCCTGGGGAAAACATGAGGGGCATGTGCCCCCCCGGATTTGTACAAGGAGCAAAGGTAGGCTGCCCGCTGCAGGCTTGAGGCCACGACTGTGCCAGGCACCTCCTGGCAGGGGCTGGGTCGAGGCTGTGCTTGGGGTGGGTGGGGGCGGGTGGCAGTGGTGCTGGAAGGGGTGGCTACGGGGTGGGCTACAGCCACCTCAAAATAACCCATAGCTATCCCT